TGAGCCTCCCGGTCGCGAAAGGAGGCGGCGGCGAGCGGAAGGTGGGCGAGACGGGGGAGCTCGGGCGCGGGGGAGCGCGCGAACGGAACGGGCCCCGCGGCGGAGGGGTTAGGGAAGGCGGGGTGCGCGAGTGCGACTCCGGGGGGCGGCGGCGGCGTGGCTGGAAGCCGCGCGAGAGGAAGTCGGGCGAGGGCGGCATGCTAGTGTGCGGAGGGGGCGAGGTTGTCGGCGCGGGGGAGAGGGTGAAGGGGGGAGGTGAGTGCGAACAAGTCGATCGGGTGCGACTCCGGAACAAAGCGGCATGCTTTGCTGCGACACATCAACGGACCGCAGTGATGATGGGCCGTTGAGCCGTGAGGGCCGTTGAGCCTTTGAGATCAATCATCCGCCACGTGTTCCGTACTGACACGTGTACTACGTGCAACCGTGTACACGTTTGATTCCCAACTCCTGCTCGCAGCATTCTCCCTCACGTTTGGCATCGCTCCCCTGCGACTGTCGGAATCGCCTCACCGTTCCCTTTCGGAGCCAGAACGCACCCCCTGCTCCTCCGCCCGCCCTCCGCGATGGCGCCGTCGCACTCGCCGTCCGGCCGCGCGCGCGGGCACGGCGAGTTCCTGCGGTCGTGGGAGAGCGCGGCGCCGCTGATGGACAGTCAGCTGCGCCTGTGCGCGACGGTGGAGGCGCAATGCGCGCCGTTGCCGCATGCGAAGCCGCCCGATTCGGCGGCCGTGCCGCGCACGGGGGGCGGAGAGGAGGAGGACGCGGCAGGAAGAGCGCGCGGGGGAGCGCACCCGTACAAGGGCGTCGACGGCCTGCGCGGGCTCGCCACCGTCGCCACGGCGGAGGACTTCCACGTCTGGCACGACGAGATGGAGCGCCGCCTCGAGGAGGCCAACGAGCACAAGTACCGCACGCTGGTCGTCTCGCTGCAGCGCGATCGCGACACGGTCGAAGGCCTGCTGCGTGTGGCGGACGCGGCGGACGAGGCGCTGCGCCGCGTCAAGGAGGGCAGGCGCCTCGTGGACGAGGTCGTGGTCCGGTTCAAGTCGGACTGCGAGAATATGGTCTCGGATCGGAAGAAGATGGGCGAGCTGGCAGACGCTTTGCGCAAGAGGCTCACCTACTTCGAGGAGCTGGAGACGCTCACCACCAAGTTCGGCGGCGGGAAGGATGCTATCGACCCTACCCACCCTGACTTCGTCAGGCTCCTGCATCGTTTGGATGAGTGCGTGGCCTACGCGTCGAGCTCGACCGGAGCCGTCGCGGAGGCCGACGGTTATCTCGCTAGGTTTCTCGAGCTGCAGAGGCGCGCCTTCACTTCGGTACGCGACCATACGGTTACTGTGCTCAGGGATACCGCGAATACTGTTGCGAAGGAGCTCAAGAGCGATCGCGCGAGTGGCGCGGGCTTTCGACATGCCGACTTGACCGACGCGTCCAAGGAGTATTTGCGCTTTCGCACCATTGCCCCAAAGGTCAAGTCGCTTATGACCGAGCTGCACTCTCGCGCCAAGATGAATCCCGCTGGGAAGGGGCCGCTGACTGGAAGGGATGGCGGTGGGGATGCCAGAGGGACGTACGGCCGGGCGGTGAATTCCATTTCGGACCCGTACTCGAATCCCGCAGCGAGCGGGATCTCGGGGCTTAATACTAACCCGGCGTTTTCGACGAGGAGCACTGCGCTTTATTTGTACTCTGATTGTGAAGAATGCTTTTTTGAGCAGCGGAAGAATCTGCTGGAACCGTCAGTGGCGGCGCATATCAAGAGTTTGGGTGATGTTCGGAATATGATCGCGCTAGCCCGGCTGGGCTCGGCGCACGTGCTGCGCGTTTGCCAGTTGGAAAGGCAGCTCTACGAGCACTTTTTCCCATCCGAGGCCTCGGATGCCGATGAGAGTGCCATGCTGCTATCTGCTTTACGCGGCGTTTGCGACATGGTATATATCGAACTGAGGCCGCAAATCGTCCAGGAGGATGACCTCGACAAGCTCGTGTATCTCATTGAAGTCCTCAAGACAGAGATTCTTGGGGACGAGGTGCCGCGCCGTGGGTTCGCAGGGAAGGCATTTGCTCCGTCCGCCGTGCGTGCAATAGCCGACGCCCAAGAGCGGATTATCTTCCGTGCGGAGGTGTTTATGCGTGACGGAATTCGTGGTTTTGTACCGAAACCAGAGCATCTGGATTATCCAGAAAGAATCCTCGAGCATCAGAGGCAGATAGCTGCGGCTTCTCGAGGCACTCCAGGTGCGGGTCAACCGACTTCGGCGGGGGCTAGCTCGCATGGAGCAGGGGCCGAGGGAAGCGAGTCGTCGGAACGCACCTCGCCAAAGAATGAAGTGCGAAGTATTGGCATATACGCAACATGGTATCCACCTGTGGAGCGGACGCTAAGGCTACTATCGATGCTCTATCGATGCGTTGATGGCGAGGTGTTTGCCGGAGTTGCGCAAGAGGCTGTTGCGATTTGCGTACAATCGGTTGGCTCTGCAGCAGCAAGAATTGCTGCGATGGATAAGCCAAATGCAGAGGATCACGCACAATTGTTTCTTGTGTGGCAGCTGCTGATGACGCGCGAGCAAATATCCCCTTTTGATGTGGAAATGAGCTACACAGAGCATGAGCTCGATTTCTTTGAGCTTCGTTCCCTGTTGGGTTCTGTGATGAGGGGACAGTTATCGGCAAGATCATTGACTGCTCCTCCAACTGTGAGAGCGACAGTAGTGGATTCGAAACGGGAACTTGACCATCGCGTGCGGGGGGCGTGTGAGTCGTTTATTCTGAAGACGACGCGATTGCTTCTTGATCCTGTGTTGTCTTTTCTCGCCAAGTGCAATGCGCTACCAGTACCGCGGAAGGGTGCACACACCGAATTGGGTCCCGGGCAAGTACCCGCGACGCCCCCCAAGGCTCCGTTTGATATTTTGAAAGCCAATTCCGGGTCGTTTGCGCATCCGAAGCGCCTGCGGGAAACATGGCAGAAGGTGAATGAGGCTGTAAGTAATGAGCTACCGGCGCTAGTGAATCGAATGAAGATCTACATCTCTAAGGCAGCCTCTCGGGCGGTGTTGCTACGTCCTATTCGAGCAAATATCGCTGAGGCGGCGACCGAGTTGCTCTCGTCACTGCAACTGCGGTACACGTTGGACGAGCGAGAAGTGATTGGTATAGACGGCGAACAAGTAGGAAAACTACTGGACGAGGTAGATAGCATTATGGGAATTGCAGCGCGAACACCGATGGCCGTGAACCGATCTTGACGGGGGGAAAGCGATGTGCGATGTAAAAAAACAGACTGGCCAGTGAAGGTTTTTGATCTTGCTTCGTGCGCAATAACTGCATCATTGCGACCTGAATTTCCATCCGCAGCTGATTAGATTGTGCCAATTAGCTGACATGTCAGCCACTGTAACTGCAGGCAACGGTCGAGCCGCCACGAATCACACAGGTGAACTAATTCGTCTTTGCCAAGCAGCTTAAACACATGTAGATTGCTCGTTAAGGTGTCGCATGCCCTCCTCCATCAACTTCTCGCCGGCGCCAATGAAGCGGTAGCGTCCGCCTTCTCCCTCAATTGACAATGGCCGCTTTTGCTACACCTTTCCCTTCGCCCCATTCCAAATTTCGCCGACATGTTCCGCGACGCAACGCCGCAAAGCGAGCACAAGTGTGCACCGCCTCTCTCAGGGGGCGCCCAATTCGCACCCCCACCGCGCCGCCACCGGTCCAATCCCTCCCATCCCCCCTCCCGCGTCCTATCCGCATCTCGCCCCGCTACACCGCCGAATCAGCTCAATTCTCCACGGTGGCCTCGACGCTCACGCCGTCCGTGTTCTGGCGGTTCCTGCTACTCTCGGATGGGCACATAATCCAGCACCTAGTGACGCTAACGGGCGGGCAGATCCGGCTGACGCTACTGGGTACGTCCTTCTCGCCGGAGACGGGGACTGTGCAGCGGCGGATCGCGCTGCTCGGCGCCGACGGCGACGCGCTTCTGTACGCGACGACGGCGTGGGACTACGACATGTACATGCGGCTGATCGCGGGCCGTGAGCGCACGCCGCTGTGGGAGGTGTTCCGGACCAACCGGCTGGCGTGCGGGCGCGAGATCTGCGCCGTGCACTTCGGCACGTGCGCGAGCCTGGAGGGATACTTCGACGTGCCGCGCGGGTCCGGCATGTGGGCAAGGGATTACGTGTTCACGAAGAAGGCAAGGCCGATAGTTAGCGTGCACGAGGTGTTCTCGCCGAGGCTCGCGGCGTGCCTCGGGCCCGTGATCCCGCCCGAGGGCGTCGTCTGCGCGGCAGAGACGGAGGAGGAACGGAGGGGGTGGAGGCGCGGGGGGGCTACGTGGCGGGAAGCTGAGGATGCTATCGGGGAATGATCGGAAGAGGCGGCGGCGAGCCAAATGTGGATGCGGCTGGTGCAGAGGGCTTTGCGTGGGATCATTTACAAAAAAGTGACATGGCTCTAACGACGGCGTTTCGGCAGCGGTCACTTGGGGACGTCGCTGGCGAAGTAGCGGAATTGCGCGCCTTGGCGCCGGGGGTTGTTGCCGACGGGATGTCCCTCTAGTCGCTAGTGAGGTGCCGTGGCGCATTTGTGCGTAGAAAGAGGAGGGACGTTAGTAAACAAGCGCGTTGTTGATCACGGTTTTTCTGGGCGTGCGCGCACACACGTACCAATTCCCGGGTGATGCCGTAGTAAGCCAGGGCGGGGACGGCGAAGCCGAAGACGGCGAGCCTCGCCCAGTTGCCGCGCGAGAACTTGAAGACGTGCTCGCAGTTCTCGCGGAAGGCGGCCCACTCCTCGATATGGATGTTCTTTCGAACGCCCATTCCGCCCACCATGGTGATCGGGGGCGCGCGCAAGCGTGAAAGGGAAGGAGTGAAAAAGGCTACGGTGGCGGGGGGGAGAACGGGAGGCGAGAGCGGGAGGGGAGGTTAAAATGAGGCTATCGGTGTGCGCGAAGCTGGACTGGATGAAGACGGAGGCGAGAGGAGATGAGCTGTAATGAGCTGTAATGATATGTAATGATATGTAATGAATCTATGTGTAATGCCGGTCTGAGGCACCTGCGACAAGACACGACTTACACGTGGTGCGAATAACGATTGATTGGCCGCGACCGCCGAGGCAGGTCCCCCGCCCGCCGTCACCGGCCGTTGTCACCGGCAGTTGTCACCGTCCGCAGCGCACGCCTTGCACGCCTTGCGGTAACCAGGACAATCCCTTCCCGCACACCAGTGAACCCCCCTCCGCCAACGCCCGCCCTGCTTCCACCTGTGCCACCGAGCACCCCGCAGCCTCCTCGCACGAGCGCCGACAGGGTTAACCCGTTGCAACGACAGAGGGAAACGCGCTTTTCAGTCGCCGTCAGTCGCCGTCTGCCGTGACACAAGGTTCCGACCGCACCAACCTGTCTTAACTAACTCTCTTTGGCGAAGGACAGGAAGAACTTCCCTTCAAAATGGCAGAGAAGCTCACGCGTATTGCTATCGTGAACGGTGAGCGATGCAAGCCGAAGCGCTGCTCGCTGGAGTGCAAGAAGAGCTGTCCGGTCGTACGCATGGGCAAGATTGGCTGCCTGGAGGTGACGTCCAAGAGCAAAATCGCCAGCATCTCGGAGATCCTGTGCGTGGGCTGCGGTATCTGTGTGAAGAAGTGCCCGTTTGACGCCATCCAGATCATCAACCTGCCCAAGGAGCTGGAGAAGGAGACCGTGCATCGCTACGGGCCCAACTCGTTTAAGCTACACCGTCTCCCGGTCCCGCGCCCGGGGCAGGTCCTTGGCTTGGTGGGTACGAACGGAATTGGGAAGAGCACCGCGCTTAAAGTCCTCGCCGCTAAGCTCAAGCCCAACTTGGGGCAGTTTTCCTCTCCGCCAGACTGGACTGAGATCCTGAACAACTTCAGGGGCAGCGAGTTGCAGAATTATTTCACAAAGGTCTTGGAAGATGATATCAAGGCCATTATTAAGCCGCAGTATGTCGACGCTATTCCGAGGGCAATCAAGGGCGAGGTGGGAGAAATTGTTAACAGGAAGGACGAGAGAGATGTCGCCGATAAAATCATCAATGAGCTACAGCTCGGAGGTGTCCTCGATCGCGAAATTAGCGTATTGAGCGGAGGGGAGCTGCAGAGGTTCGCGCTTGCCATTGTTGCTGTGCAAGAGGCCGACGTGTATATGATTGACGAGCCAAGCTCATATTTGGATGTGAGGCAGAGATTGAAGGCCGCAGGCGTCATTCGAGGTCTGCTCGTCGAGAGAAGCAAGACTTATGTTATTGTTGTCGAGCATGATCTTGCCGTACTTGACTACCTCTCCGATTTTATCTGCTGTCTCTATGGCAAGCCGGGTGCGTACGGTGTTGTTACTCTTCCATTTTCTGTTCGAGAGGGGATCAACATTTTCCTAGCCGGCTTCATCCCGACGGAGAACTTGCGCTTTAGAGAGACGGCTCTTCAGTTCAGATTAGCTGAGACTGCCGATGATGACGAAGAGGTCGAGCATCACCATCTGTACAGCTACCCAAAAATGACAAAGACGCTGGGTTCGTTCAAACTTCGTATTGAACAGGGCTCTTTCACGGACTCGGAAATTGTCGTCATGCTTGGCGAGAACGGCACCGGCAAGACAACTTTCATTCGTATGCTCGCCGGCCTGATGAAACCTGACGATCCAACCGTGGAAGTCCCAGAGTTGAACGTCAGTTACAAACCTCAGAAGATTTCTCCTCGCTTTGAAGGAACCGTGCGACAGCTCCTGTACAACAAAATCCGAGACTCGTGGACGCACCCGCAGTTCATGACTGATGTGACAAAGCCAATGAATATGGAACCGTTGCTGGACCAAGAAGTGCGACATTTGTCTGGTGGAGAGTTGCAACGTGTGGCGCTGGTGATGGCGCTTGGGAAACCTGCTGACATTTACCTGATTGACGAACCAAGTGCGTACCTAGATTCAGAACAACGTATCATCGCGGCCAAGATGATCAAGAGATATATCCTTCACTCGAAGAAGACTGCTTTTGTGGTAGAGCATGACTTTATTATGAGCTCGTATCTTGCCGACCGGATAGTTGTGTATGAGGGAACACCGGCTAAAGACTGTATAGCGTGCACGCCGCAAAACCTTGTGTCAGGAATGAACCGATTTTTGAAGAATTTGGAGATTACGTTCAGAAGAGACCCAACGAATTTCCGCCCAAGAATTAACAAGATCGACTCCGTCAAGGATAGGGAGCAAAAGCTTTCGGGGCAATACTTTTATGTGGATGTCGCCTCTGACGACAGGGATGCGGACTAAACTGCACTGACTCGTACGATCTCCGCCTCAAAGAGATGTTGTCGCACAGCAGGAGCCACCAAATCGCCAGGGCGGACTCTCGCGCTTTGGATTGCGTTTCGAGTGCGCTTCACGCTGCAATACAGCAATCCAGATGGGGGTAGTAGCAAGCCTTAGCACATCAGTGTGGCAATTAGCAACAATGTCAGAGAGCTAGAGCCTAGGCATGCTCCCCCGCGGACAGCCCGTCCCTTTTGAATAGAACAATCAGTTGCAGGCGTTGACTGAAAGAATGAAGTGAGTGAACCGACAAGCACCGTGAGACGACAGCAATTCACTGACTCTTCTCCACTCCAGTAGACCCGAACCCCCCAGCTCCCCTCTCCGTCTCATCCAGCTTCTCCACGAGTTGCACCCCGACCGTCGAGATCTTCTCCAGCACCAGCTGCGCGACCCTATCCCCGACGCTAACCTTGAAGTCCTCTTCTCCGAAATTGAACAGCACGACGCCGACCTCCCCCCTATAATCTGCGTCCACGACGCCAGCCCCCACGTCGATGCCCTTCTTCACGGCGAGCCCGGACCGCGGGGCGACGCGCCCGTAGCACCCAGCGGGGATGCGCACCTGCAGCCCCGTCTTGACGACGGCGCGGCCGCGCGGCGGCACCACGCACGCTGCCGCGGCGGCCAGGTCGAAGCCCGCGGCCAGCGGCGAGCCGCGCGCCGGCGCCGTGGCGTGCTCGTTCAGCAGCACGACTTGCAGCGCGTCCTCCGCGGGCGCGGGCGTCGCGCGGTCGCGCTTGGCAGGCGCAGCGGACGCAGACGGCGGCAGCTCCCGCTTGGCGGGCACGTGCGCGGGCGCGGGCGTGGTGGCGGCGGTGGAGGGCGGCATCGGGGCGAGGCGCGGGGGGCGGCGGGGCTGGGAGGGGGGACGGGTGTGGCTGTGCAGAGGGCGGAGGAGGGCGAGGCTGGTTATGAAGCAGGGGGGCATGTGGGTGTGCGTGCGGGGGGGCCGAGGGGCGGGAAGTGAGCATTTACGGGCTCTGGGCGCGGGGATTCGAGCGACACTTTATCGGGTGACGATTTGGACACTGTTTGGCGCCAAAATAATCGTTTCCCGCCAAATTTGAAATGGATTGCTTCAAAACTGCCCGCAAACCGGGTTGTGGTGTAAGCATTGGGTGCGAGGGTGTGGTTCGACGGGTGAGGTTTGACGGGTGCTCTTTTAAACTTGATCACTGCATAGCGCACGTGTTAAATACCGCCAAGTGTATGTCTGCAAGAATTCGTGCCTCGAAGTCGATTGCCTACAAGTTGTACCGCGGTCACTGCTCCTTTGCTGCAGCCAAGACTCAGATCCAACAACGTCTCAACTACGCAATATGGTCCAAAGTTACTGTGGCCACCTCCATCCTCACCCGCATGCCGGCGCATGCCACAGACGTTGTCCACCCACTCCACGTGTAAGCGTGAAATCTACCGTATGCGTTAGGATATGCCCCTATGATACCCTGTGATAAAGAAAAAGAGAAATACATCCGAAACGACAGTGCATTCCCCTGATCTCTCACCAACTCAACCCCAACTCAGTTCTCTCTTCTCCGCCTCGCATTCCCTGGCATTTCATCCACTTCCGTTGACATACCTCCGTCGACGTACTTCCGTCGACGTCTGTCAAACACTACACCTAATCTCTCGCCATGCCGCTATCCTTTACCACGCCGCCGTCCCCATTCCCCCGCCCGCGCCGCCTACCCGCGCGCCAGTCGCCCCGCCGCCCGCGAACAAGTCCCCTGCGCGCGGCCCTGGTCCCGCTTCCAACGGGCGTTCAGCTGGAGGTGCTCGACGCCCCGCCGTACCCCCCTCTGCACGCCGGCTCTCCGCCGTCCGCCGCGCTCCCCAAACCGCCGCTGCTCTTCGTGCACGGAAGCCTGCACGGCGCGTGGTGCTTCCACCGCTTCCAGGCCTTCTTCGCGAGCCGCGGCTTCCAAACGTTTGCCATCTCGCTGCGTCGCGCGGGCAGGTCCGTGTGCGACGTCGACGCCGTCCCGACGGCGGAGGACCACATCTACGATCTGGACGCCCTGCTGGCGCATCTGCGCCTCCCGCGCGCCCCGCTCGTCCTGGGGCACAGCATGGGCGGCTTCATCGTGCAGAAGTGGGCCGCGCGCCACCCGCCTGTCGAGCCCTGGCGCATGGTCTTGCTCGCCAGCACGCCGCCGAGCGGCACCTCGGCTTTGGCGTGGCGCATCACCAAGCAACTCGGGTTTTGGAAGTCCATGCGACTGACGATGGGGTTTGTGAGGAGGAGTTGCGTCAACGATGTTGGCATTTGTCGCGAGATGTTCTTTTCGAGTAAGGCCGCCGAGGGGTTTGTGGAAGACATCGAAGGGGATGACGCCCTCGTCCGGTACATGGCGGACATGAAGATGACACAGACGTGTCTCGACTCGAAGAGTATTAATACCCCAGTGGGGGGGACGGGGGCGCTGAAGGGGAAGGTGCTCGTGTTTGGTGCCGAATTGGATAACTTGATCGACAGAAAAGCGTTGGAAGAGACGGCTGAGATGTGGGATGGCGATTTAAAAGTCTTGGAAAACGCACCCCATGACCTCATGTTATACTCCCAGTGGGATGTTGCAGCGAAGACGATTCTTGACTGGATCGAATCAGAAACAGCGCAGTGACCGCTTGGCCCAATTTTGTTAGGAACGGCTCGACTTCCCCATGACCGTGATCGAAGAAAGAGCCTTATGAAACCATTTGCTCTCTATCCTTATTTACTGGAAAGATCGCCGCGCTAGTGTTCCCCGATAAGGAAACAGAGCAAGGCTTCAAAGGCTTCTTCGCAACGCGCACTCTTTTCCAAACCATTGTAGGTTGTAGGTTCCCATTGCCGAGCTGCCCGTGATCGTTTCCCCCGATGCACCACATTTCCCCGTTATCCTTGACAATGCACGTGTGATTCTCACCCGCAGCCACGGCAATCGCTCGGATTGTGATGTCCGCTGTAGGCGAAGGTGGCGCCAGAGAAGAGTAGTTGTGATGACCCAACTGACCCCATCGGTTGAACCCAAAGCTAAACACAGTCCCATCGCGTACGAGCATCACGCTGTGTTGTCCGCCACCAGCGACCGCCCGCCCTGCCAATTCACCAACAAGGCTCGACTTGCGCACTTCGCCCGAGGCCTTTTCATGACTCCGCAGCCATGGTTCTGCAGAAACTCCAAGTTGAGCCCACTGATCATTACCAACGCCGAAAATAGTCCCGTTTCTATCCAACAAGATTGTGTGTTGTCTGCCACATGAGGCGTCTCTTATTCTTACTCCGTCTGGTAGAATCAGCTTTCGAGGAATTTCGGGATCAACGTCACTTAAATCGCCAACCTGACCCAATCCAAGCTGCCCGTGTGAGTTCGAGCCCCATGCAAACGCCTCTCCGCGACTTGAAACGGCAATACAGTGCTCCCTGCCGCATCTGACTTTTTCGATTGATGTGCGCCTCATAGCCCCCTCGAGTAGTCGCGCCGGATCAAAAGTCTTCTCATCTACGCATTTTGAAACATGCAGCTTCCCTCCAGAATCCAGGATAAAGATCTCGCTCGAAGCTTCCCTGACAGCAACATCTACCGCGCGTTCACCCAAATGAATTTGTGCGACGTTGTCCGAATCCTTCGATACATGGAACCCATGCACATTTCCGTCATCATCGACAGCGGCTCCCAGACTTTCCGCAGCCGACACCTTGACGATTTTGTCCGAAATGCCAGATATCGATCTCGGGGAACGCCCGAACTTTCCACCCCAGACTACAAGACGACCGGGTAGCGGAACCAACCTTCCAATTTCTAGGCCGTCTGCCGGTTTCTCCGCCACAAGCCAGCTCAGCCACGACCCTCCTTCCCCTTTTCCATTTTCACTGCCAGCAGTATTCGGTCCATAAACTAGGCCGAAACCACTACAGACTGCCGCAGTCGCCCCCCAAAAGTACTTCATCAGGTGCGCGCGAATCTCACTGTAGGGAAGAGGCAAGCAAGAGCCTGGGGCGATAAGACTTCGTCTGCTTGAGGGCGCGATACCAACGCTACTGTAGCGCCTCCCGAAAAAATTGTCCCTTCTGACCAATAATCTGGCACCAACTGGCTCAAAATTCAACGAAATTTCGCCTCATAGCTGGTCTCGACTTCCTACATGATGTGGACTTGTTCCCGATAACTACATGCCCCGTCTTTGTGGTCAGTCGTGCTGGGCGTTTCAAAAAAGCGAAGGGCTCAAAAAGTGTCATATAAATGACAGACGCTTCCAAATTGCGTTTAGAAAAAAGCCTCAAACTCTTGTTTGAAACCAACTTATCGATCATGGTCAGACGATTTTGCAGTCGAGATGCCTTTCCTGACTGGTAAAACCTTCAAATATGCATCACGCCACGACATTCCATTTGCTGCGTTGACTAAAATCTCAACACAGTGATTCACTGTTAGGACTGGAGTTCCATGTTGCAATGAAATGTTTCTATCCAGGTTGAGGCGGGCCGTCTTGATTCCAAGTCGCGTAGCCTTGTCCATGGTGGCGCATCGCAAACGGTTGCGGTCCACGATCCCTCCAACAACATAAATGGCGTCTGGGTCCATGGTCTGAAGTACATCCTCGGCATCGTGAGTTAGATATACCATTTTCTCCTTCTCATGCGTCTCCAGTAGACTGTTCTCAGAGAGCTTGACTGGCCATGTTTCCCATCCCTGGGCTGAAAATGACAGAACAGGTTTAATCACATCGTCAATGCCTGCAATTGACATGGAGAGTGGCACCATATCGCTCTCCACACACTTTCTCAGCGCATTGTAAGAATAAGCCAACTGCCGTGCCAAGCTCCTCTGCTCCTTTTCAAACATTTGATCGTTCCAGCCCAGGTCTATGCAAACTGAGTAGCGCGTACGATTCTGCAGGGCGTCCTTTACCTTTGCTCTCTTTTCCCGTTCCTCCGCGCGGCCTGCTTTCATCGCCGCGGCTCTTTCCTGGATGGCCCGCTCGCGTTCTTCCGCGGGAAGTTTCTCAAACCTGGCTTGCCGTTCGGCCCTCTTTTGAACCTTCACGAGTGCCTTTTGTCGCTTTTTTTCTTCCTTGCGTGCCTTCTTGCGGTCGGCAAGGCGTTTCTCGCGAGCGACTTTCTTCTGTGCATTCTTGGAAATGCCCTGCAACTCCGTTTGTCCAGTTCTGCGGCCATCCTCGCGTTCTCCGCGCGCAGCCGGAAGTCGCGCTACGTGACCATGATCTCTTGGAGCCTTTTCCCAGAAAAGTCTGCTCAATGCGACTCCCATTGTGACGCCCGCACCAAAGTCATTCAGACAGCTTCCTTAGCTTTCCTTTCTCGTCGTCCACAATGGGAGCGGAGGTTGCGTCATCGACAACCACGGTGAACCTCATAATATGATGTCATATTATGACCGGTCGCCAAGGGAGGAGAAATTTATAAATCCTTCTCAGATTTTTCACCAAATTTTACTCATCGAACCCAAAAGGAGTCATGCGGGTTGTTGCCTCAACAACCAATCAAGTGTGAGCAACAGTTACAGGGATTTACGCCGCCGCCTTCACAAACCCTGAATCGTAAGCAACGTACCAGCGCAACGCACCCTCAGCGTTGCTAATTAAGCCGGTGAGCGGGAGATTGTTCGACATACGGCGTACAACTTTGCGCAGATGGCGTCCACCGGGAGACACCGAAAGTTAGCCGACTCGTATGACTCAGACGATGACGCCCCGATAGGAAACATCTTGACTACAGCGAAGGCAGCCGAGTTGTGTCCCAAGCCCCATCGCCTGATTGCGCGAAATGGAGGCTTCACATCCTTGGCGGACCTCTCCACTCTTTCCGCCCTTGACTACATCGATTTGCGAGGAAACGCTCTCACCTCCGTCGAAGGCATTTCATCCAACACACGTTTGAAAACGTTGATCGTCAAGGAGAATAAACTAACAAACGTCGACCACATTCTCTCCACGAAAGCTTTGCAAATTCTCGACATCTCCGATAACAATTTCGTTTCTACAGACTGGCTTGCGAGGGCCACTTTTGCCGGCAGTCTGGTCGCGCTTGTCGCGCGTGGCAACCAGTTGGTTGTGCTGGAAGGAATGGCAAGTCTTCGAAAATTAGAAACCATCGTCCTCAGCAACAATCAGATTGAGGATCTTGCTCCTGCTATGCAACTGACCAGTCTCATAAAGCTCTCCGCCTCGAATAATGCTATTCGCAGTATTCCTCCTTCTATTACAAACCTCTACAACCTACGAGAACTACGTTTGGCTCACAACCGTCTCGCTGCCCTTCCCCCCAAGGAAGTCCTGGCGAGGCTGTCATCACTCAAGATTTTGGACATTGGCCACAACCGAATCACGAATATCGATAGCCTGGCTGCGTGTAGTGGAAGCCTGGTACAATTGAACATTGCGGGAAATCCCGTTTGCACGAAAGAAGAAAACTTCACTGAAGCACTGCGAAAATTATGCCCGAAACTCGAAATTATTGATGCGCGTCGGATTGCGGGAGGACGAAGGAAATTGCGCGTCAATAGACAAAGATTAGACGCTGGCATGCCGTTGGAACCAGAACGCAAGTTTGCTCGTCCACCGTCAGCGTACTACGTTCAAAAGGGGAATGATGAGAAATCTCTTCGGAGAGATAAAGAGCCTGCAGTGTTGAGTTCAGCAGGTGGCAATGAGAGCGAGACGAAGAAGCGAAAGGCGGACAGAACCAGTCAGGGAATGGTTCAAAAGGACTCTATGCAGAGGGGAGAACCTCCAACAAAGAAGAAGCAAGCAAGCCCAAAGGCATCTGACGAAGAAGATGATGACGCTCTAGATGCAGCTCAGTTCATCGCAATGGCAACAACGAAAGCTATCTCAGTTGGAAACAGCAATTCATCACAACTGGCTATTGAAAAACAGAGCAAACCGAAGACAAAGCAGAAATCCATGGGCACAGTTACACAGCGCCAAAGCGTAGAATTTGGTTCAGGCGGAGATAGCAAATGGTAGCTCGGAGCAGTCGTATCATCGAGCTAAACCGTACTGAGTGAGGTTATCGAAACTCATCCATCGTGGCGCTTCATGCAAGTGAATTTTGCGAGACTTCCGGTTTCGATCTTACGACAGGCCTTCCTCACCAGACTTCCGAAGGTAGCTATTGGTTCATGCAACTGGAGATATAGTGCGAATAGGGAGAAACGAATCGTATCAGGCAATCCGAGGAAGGAGCGTATGGAAGATGTCACCTATGTTTACCCTCCTATCGTTGCATTGCATCCAGCAAGGAATGGCCGTTCCCAGCCTCGTATATTTTCCATGCCTTGAAGAATTCCTCGGGGTCAATGAGCCTACCTGCTTTACTATCATACTGGGCGAACAAAGGATCACCTTGTTGCGGAGGGTGTGATATAAGCAGTCTCACGCCCCGCGATAACGTGTACAATGGCCCTGAAGACATCGACGAGGCACTGCCCATGAAAACGTCGGCCGCAATCATTTCATGCATACTATTCAGAGTGTCCTCACTAATATGAAGCTGGACCTCAAGCTCCTTTCGGAGTCTGTTGCGAAGTCGACCATCAGATCTTCGCATTCTCTTAATGGCACGTGCCCACTGTGCTGCTGAGCGAGGCTCTTGTTTTTCATTATAGTATGTCTTGTCCATTCCGTCGACATCATGCGTGGTTTCCCCCAATTTTGAACGTCTTCGTCCTTCGCTGTAAATGTGCACAATTGCATGGGCACGGGCGAAGGTCCCGTTCATTGAGTCAATTATATCAACTACGTCTGCAATAGCCCTCGCGTAAACCCGATCAGACAACATTTGTCTCCTCCTGTCGGTAAAGAAGTCGCCGCGACGGACATGTGCAGCAATGTTCAAATGGCGTTCGTCAAACGGTAAGCTTTTTTTGCGCTGTCGCCAAAAACCTTTCGGCCATAGTCCTCCTACCTGCCTCCCATGCAGGTTCCAGTACTTGTAGCGGAACCACGGCCCAGTCCGAGATGTGTTCCTATTTGATCCTGCAAAATCGCATGCCCCAGGTGGCACTTGGAAAATTGTGTGACTTTGAGTGTTCTGGGTTAGAACATTGTGCAAGCTTGTGTCACAACGAGTGGACCAGCCGTGTCTTGATGTGCAGTTATATACAAGAAACGACGGCAAGGTAACGACGCGCTGCAAGCCAAAAGTTCCATTCTTTTTAAGTGACTCACAGGTAAGACATTTCTTTGTTCCCGATGGTTGCTTATAGTAGGAGACGGACATTGCGCAATCTTCCCATATGTTCTCTCGTGGAATTTCACCCCTGCCCCAGCCGAAAAAGTTGTCCACGGTGTATTCATCGTCCCTCGTCAATGACTCGTACGTGCTGTGCCGATGTGTTAGGGTCAAGTTAAGTTTGGTTGCCAGCGCAACCTCAAAGTTATACATGAAGAACATATGGCCCAGGCCGTCGTCCATGCTATTGCGAACCGATGATAACAACAAGCGATGTCGTGACTGCGCAAGCGATGGAAGCCTTGTATAGGCTATATTGTACCAGGACACGAAGTAGCGGTTCCAGTTAGCGGGGTAAGGAATGTATTTGAAGGTTGGCCCCTCGAAAGACTGAAGAACTTCCTCTACAGCAGAGCTGTTCATCTTGCACTCCTCGGAAGTACAGATGAGCAATCTTGAAGACAGCGAACCATTCTTACTGTCCAAGAAATGCCTCATTGAGAGAGACGGTCGCCATTTGAAGATGCCAAAAGCATTGGACAGGAAGAGAACTGTTGACAAAAAGAGAAGCTGAAGCATGGCGATGCGATATGAGAGAAACGAGGACGCTATCGGCCCTCATGGCATGTACGTTAGCATATGCATTGATTGTAATGGCAACAGGCAGGTTCCCTTTCAAGACAACGGTGTATATCGAAATGCCAACGCAATGAAAGTGATACTAGACTTGCATGACGACCGCATTGACACGTGAAGTGATGTCATGTCTAAAAGTCGAAATTAGAACTGGGATAGAACGGAGATCTCAGGTGTACATGAACATTGAAATTAGTCTGGTGCCAACACCGGTAAGAGTGCATAAGACGTGGCAATGAAATGGAGAAGTTTTTTCGAAACCTTGATAAACGGTGTTTCAAGTTTCAAGGGCTAGAAATAGAAAATATATTGGGCTGAAATTGTAAGCCGCACTGGGGATTACGCAGCGGTGTTAAACGATCTAGATCCCTGTGCGAGGCCCGCTGAGACTTTCCCGCAAAAGAGCAGAAAGATTCATTCAGAAGCCTGTCTAAGTAGACATGAAAAGCAACGTCTTTGGGGCCTCCTGTCTCACACCCGTTCGCGCTTGAGATCGCGACTGTGATTGTGATGTTCGAATTAAAGAAAACGGTCTGCACGCCGTGACGAAAGAGCCGTCCCCCAATCGAGACACCGTTCACGCTGTCTGTTTTACATCCTACCGACCTTTTGAGCTAACCTACAGTCACGAATTCATTGCAGAACACGAAATGCGTTCAAAAAATGCGTCTCCTTCAGTGCTGTCTGGTCTGATACTGCGTTATCTGCGCAGAAAAACTGTATCGCTTGGTCTGTCATGCAGTAGTCAGCTGTGTGCAGCCGTTCAAGAATGTTGTTTCCGTAAACAAGGAGCGAGACCTCTTTTTGCACTGCCGCCTTAATGTCAATTTACGTCCCCCACTTGTCCACACTTAACTGGCGCAATTACCCCTGTCCCTGCTGTCTCTATCGTAATCATCCAATGAAATACTGCCAAGCGACATATATGACCCACTCCCCATCCGCCCGTTTAAGATCTGCTCCCGCGGCAACCTCACATTCTGCAACCGTCCCGCCACCACGGATAACTCCCTTCCTCCTTCACGCTCGCCCGCTCTCCGCACAAAACTCACGCAGTATAAGACCTTTCTGACGCGGACGACAACTGGCCTCTGTCCGCAACCTTCCTCAACGCGGTCGCTCACCTGCCATCCTCAACATGGCTTTCATGGACACCATCTCGCGGCTATACAACTCCGTCAGTCTCTATCTGCGTCTCTTCATCCTCCGAGTCGTCCTCTTCGTCCGCCAGAACATCGAATACCGCACGGCGCCCGCTGCTCACTCATCCCGCACCCTTCTCGTCCTTGGAGATGCCGTCGCCATGGGCCTCGGCGACTCCATGGGTAGCCTGGGTGTAATCTCCCGCCTCCCGCCGATCCTGCGTCAGGAATGCAACGAATCCGGCATCCGCCTCTACTGGCACGCCGTCACAGCCGGTGTCCTCGGTTCGAAGGCCAAAGATTGGTTGCCGAGCGCCCCGAAGAAGCTCTTTGAAACTGCTTTAATTCGTGGCATGTTCAAAAACGCTAATGTTGTTGTCATTTTACTTGGCGCACATGACGATTTGCGTAGCGAAGGTAAGGAAACTGCAGAGGCTGTTTCCAGAATTGCTGAAGGTGTTGTACGTCTTGGGAAACATTGCGTTGTCTCTACATTTGCAAATGAGTATCCTGTCAAGTCAGAGGATCATGCCAAGGTAAGAGAGGCAAACGCTATTCTGAAGGCCGCTTTGCAGGAAGTGAAGGAAAACAACACTTCGCCACGCTGCGGAAGTATCTCTTGGGACGTCGAAATGGCAAAGGTTTACGCTCTTGGCAATGATGTCCTTACGTTTGAGAATGATTTCATTACTCCCAACCCTGCTGGTTACAGACTGCTCGCGAGAGAAGTATATGAGGCTTTTGTACCGGCAGCAAAAAAGGTTGAATGGGAACATTGGAAACAAAAGTTGTCGGGATAAGCGTCAGTTGTTCATGATCATATCACCATGTCATATCTTTGCCTGCCGTTCTTGTAGATTATCCAATGTCCAGTATCCAATGTCCAATATCGGAGCAGATCACGGGTATACACATCATAGCGTTTGAGGATCTAGAATTAAATGTACATCAACGCCTTATCGAGTCCAGGCCTTTCAGAGTATTTCATCGACAAATCACTTGCCACTTCCCTTTACAACCTCGTAAGACAATACGAGATGGCACTGCATCGATAGTATTTCGACCATTTGGGGCTCCGGGTACCTCCATATCCGCAAGAGTTTCGACTTAAAGGTATCGATTTCGAAAGCAAATGAGCGCAAGTTAAGCTTTGGTATCATGTTGAAAGTTGACGTGAAGCTACTACATCGGCATCTACTTCAAGTCTCGCAAAAGTTTGGAATACTTTGGTGTTTCGCTCTTAACGCGAGTTTTCCCTCCACCCGCACGAGCAGCCGCCAGTATGGCTTCCAGCGACGTTGCACCGGGAGAAGAACTAGTAGTCTTCGTGTTAGACGCCTCCTGTGCCTCCTGAGCCTTCTTCTCCGCAGTCTCATCGAAAGCCGTTGCCCTCGAAGCACTTGAGACTGGAACAGGGGTAGCTTCCTCGGAAGTTTCGACGATTGAGGCATGAAAAGTCTCGACGACACTGTCGAGGCGCTCAGCAATGCTAGTGAGCTTCCCGGCCATGTTCATGATTTCTTGTTCCTTTGCTTGAATTTTGCGTTTCAGCTCGCGCTCCTCGTCGGTGTCTCCTGCCACGATTTGAGGCACGGACCGTCGCGCCTTCGGGTCGTCGGCAACTTGTGCCGCAACACGGGTTACACTTCGCACTCTTGCAGATTTTGCCTCTGTATTCAATTCGGGACGCGGCGCGTCCAAGGTGCTCTGGAATCGCTCTTTGGGTGGAGGAGCTGGTTCTTCCTTTTTCTCCTCAAATCTGCTCATCAAGGCTCGCATACGCGCAGCCGGACTGTCTGATGACATCGCAAGCAGGAGATAGCGATGGGGCAAGGTGTAAAATTGGGTCAGTATCCTTGTTTACTCTGCGAAAACGGAAGAGTGAACAGCGAGCTCTATGAAGCAGTGCGTTAGAAAATAGAGGTTTGGACCGAATGCACTTACCTTCCGCCATGCTGGAACGCCCCTTCTGTAAGTAAAAGGTTCTGGAAGGCAGGAAGAAAGTTGGACTAGCAGAGCCGTGACTAACGCAGCATCAGTGCACTGCACTCCCTCACCCCACTTGGAAAGGAAGAGGAAGAAAACCGGAAGCTGCTGTGCGTCCCACTGGATGGTGAGAAAATGATGGTCTTTGCGCCATCAGCAGTGAGCTGGTCTGCAAAAGTGGGCAGGAGGAGGCGACAAAAGGTAAGGACTGCCAGAAAATGCATTCTTGGGAGATTTAATTTGCGAAAGAAATGCCAGAATTTTGGCTTGCAATGCACGGTTTGACGCTGCACCAACTGTACTGGGCGGCGACTCTGCAAAACTCAAAGCTGTCTTTTTGGCAAAATATGCAAAACAGAAATTTTTCTTTTTTTGGAGCGGCCCAGTGGGTCGCTAGTCGCGTTCTTTACTCCTTTCGTTACAGTGCGTGGTCCGTCAGGAAACAAGCACAGGGCACGTACTTCTGCACGTGACAGGTCCATCTCTAGTGTCTGTTGGACTATTTTATTCTTGACTCCGCTTCCTCGACAAGAAAGAAAAAGATACGTCTGTCACCGTACTTGGCTTCTGACTTGAGGACAGAAAGAACTTTGTGAGAACTGCATGTTCTTCGTGGTCGTTTTTAGATATGCCTGGAAAAGAAGCTTTTTTAAACCACCTTAAAACTGCATGTAAAATAACTTCGAAACCAAAAAAACGCCATTTTAAAAAGGGAACTGTGTACTCAATCTGCATTACATTCTTAATCGTTCTGCTGCAGAACGAACCGGGATAGCAGCTTTGAATATGCAGAACTTCTGCATAAGCTGCTATCCCGGTGTTCTGCAAAATGTTATTGGCGAAAACAAGTGCGTTAAGGAAAAAGTGTCCAAGATAGCGTTTAAATGTTCAATTTAATTTATATATTTTTGCAAAAAAAGAGGACCTCCCCGTCCTCACATGATATGAAAACACTTTATCACACGGTATCATAGACGCATATCCTAACGCACACGGATATATAATGAGAACAAGCCCCGGTCGGACAGACACTTGCATGTGTAGGTGCTACGCCAGATTAGGGTAGTAAATGGTAATCAGCAACGCCGTTCCGCTCCACATCTTACCCTGTCTACCGAATGTGCGGTGTGGCATCTTCGATTAACATCCACACTCATTAGCAGTACTATTTGCCACGCCCGTCCCTCCTCACGGTCCTAGTCAGTGATGATTCCTAATACATATCATTCATTCGCCTTTTTGAATCCTTTCGCATTGCCCGTTCAGTTTGGATGCTTCGGACAAGTGATTTCACAGCAAAGTGAAACCCAAGCCCCTCCATTCCTCTCGCCAAAGGACACTGTATCTTCGTCTTCGACATGTATCAAAGTAGCATAGCGCCAGAGATTTTGTATTTACGCATGCAGCAAAAACAAACTACACTACAGTATCACGAACAACCATTAATCATCAGTTTCGCTGCAATTCTTCATCAGGTACCACGTCGAGGAAAGACCAAATCCAGTCTTTGCGCATCCCGTTGCAGTCAAAACAGAACCATGAGTCACATAGCATCCGTTCTTCTTTTCAGCTCTCTCAGAGTACCCCCCATCTCCTTAAGAGCCGCACTCAGCTGTGTGATCAAGTCCTGAATCTCTCTCTTGCCTGGTTTGGAGCTCGACCAGTTCTGAGGACTGCTTGGGGCGGGCATCGGAGCCACGTCCGAGTCCGTCCTGCTTGATATTTTCTTTACCATCATTTGCACATTGCCATCATAACCATCCTCACCTCTTCCTGTCATGCTCGGTATGGATTGCAGACTTTTTAGGGGATGCACTTGAGAAACATTGGAATCTGTTCGGCTCGAAATCCTTTTTACCATCTTCTGCACATTGCTTTCTGCAGCAGCACTCGGTTTCTTTGTAGCCATGTTTTCAAAAGCTGCAGGATGGTTAGTGGGTTTCCGACATTTGTAGTGAGAGAGAATCACAGAGAAAGGAGCTTGTCAGAAAGCTATTGAAACAAAAACTCGTGACACTTTTTAAATGCAGAACTGTCCAACCCACTCTTCACAACTTCTTTCGTCTTTGTCTTCTTAGGCTTGCTTGAAGCTCGCAAATCTCCCGCTTTGGAAAGAGTTATTCCGCCTCCGACTTCGGCTCCGGAAGAGTTCACAACGGTTGTCGGAGATGTTTTCTTGCGGTCATGTCCAGGCTTCCGATTGTGGGAAACGTCGCTGCCGATTTTCTTCTCCCACAGATTAGCCATCTTTATTGCCACTTCGGGCTGGTGTTTGTTTCCATACTCATCTACAGTGAGCATTGTCACAGTCGTAAAAAGGAAGGCCGGCAGACGTGGTCAGATATGGATTTCGTCTGTCAAGTAGGAGGTTCTTCATTGAGATTGATGTATGATGAAAATGTATACCTTTCGTTACCTGAGAAGAATGTTTCATGCCTGAGAACGCCCGTGCTGTATTTGCAATCCACTGGTCGCAAGAGTCTCTTGTGCGGGGATACCACCTGTTGTCGACCTGGGTGCAAGACACAAGCGTTTGCTAGACAGCTGCTTTTCCGCCCGCTTTTATATACAGCTTGAAAGCATATGCTGTTGAGCCAAAATTGGGGTGCGGACCCTCTCATGAAATCAATGTGTAATACTTTCCGATCCCTCTCGAACTCGCGTAATATCTCACACAAAACAGAAATGCAATTGGCTGGCAGTCATTAGTCAAAACTGCACATTCCTTCGTCAAAATATTCCCCCATTTGTCTTTCAAGATAAGATCGGGGGGAACCAAGAAGTCATTTCCAGCCCACGGACCAGAGATTTTTTATATGAAGACATACTATGCACTTGTCGCAGGTAAGCAAAGATGCCCTGCTGTCTCAGCGATGGATGCTGTTAATGTAGCTCGCTTTGAAAAAAATAACAACATCTGAGACAGACTCTTTAGGCTCAAATGTCCTCTGAGTCCGGGTGAGGTCGCTCTCGTGATACAGAACTCTCGCGGACAACTCCTTGGCCGTAGCACACATAGTCACACAGATTGGGAATCAAAACGCACTTACACAAGCCTCGTGGATGTCCCCGCACCCATGAATGTCCTCACTGTCCCATTGATTGCAACTTGACTTCCCCACCTTCCCTCGGTGAAGCTTCCTCCCTCTCTATTCACCTCCTTTCGACCCAGCCGCCCTCCCTGGATCCGAAACTGGCTGTTGCGCTCATCCCAACCCCTCTCGCACCTTGCGAATTCTTTCTCCGGCCCTCGTGGTCCACTCCCCAAGTTAACCATCCCCAGACAGCGCAGCGTACAGTCTACCCTATCTGCGAGCACTTAGCTCGACCGCGTTTAACTATATGTATGTGACACTAGGAATCTCCAAGGGATTTCTTGAGTTCTGACTCAGACAACTCCAATGGCGTGTGGCGTTAAGCTCCCAAAAACCCACGTTCCTCCCGCCCTCATGTTCAACCTCACCACGCCAACGTCTCCTCCCACACCGGCCCCCAGCCCCCTACGCACCCTATATCCCTCCACGCCGAGTCTGTCCCGACTTTTTCTTCCTCTTGCTTCCGCTTTTCTCCATTACCCCAGCCTGCGCCTTCTCGTCATGAGCCACTTTGTTTTGTCTTTTTTTTCCTTGCTCTTGTTTCTCTTATTCGCTCGCTTTTGGTATATTTATCGGGAAGGGAATTCGAGGCACGAAGTGAGCCGCGAATAAAAACTGAACTTCTTGATTAACGTGGAGGGACAAGACATCACATGCGAGGACATGGTGTCGGCCAACGCTTAGCTGAGCTTAACGCGGCCATTCACATTGCAGAGCGCATACCTCAGCAACCAGCGGCTCTCGCTAGATGGGATGAGATGATAGTTAATATGCCTGGTTTCTTCCAGGCAGGGATAGACCATACAGTAGAACTACGGGACGGTGAGCTGCGACTATATAAGTACAGCATGGAATTCGTAAAGGCTGAAAATGATATGCTTTCGTACTCTGTTGTACAGGTGCCACAGCTGCAGGGCCTTTGCGTGCACCCCAATGCTGAGGACCTCTGGCACGACGGCGTGGTTGAGAGCATGATCAGGAGCTCGGGCCTGGTCCATAAGTTAGTCACGAGCGGGCATCGATACATATCTAGCAGGAGCGCTTACGCTTGCCGGGTACCCCGGGACATCCTGTCTGAGAAAGGTATCATAGCGGAATACCTATTGCGTTCTTCGAACAAGGTGCAACCCACATGCTGGGCAGAGTGGAGACGAATGGTTCTTCGGAAATGTGGCATCGGCGCAAGCACTGGCTATACTTGCGAAGGTGCTGGTAGCTGCGGTTAGGGCAGTGCTGATGACTGCAGTGAACAGCCAGGCCAATTAGGGTAGGACATACTGCAAAAGGGCCACGACCAGAGCTTGCGACGACAGCGGTGGGAGAAAGCCCCGAATGCCCGATTGGGGCAGTTATTGTGCCGCGCCCCTAGCTAGACGTAGGAGGATTTAAGCCGCCAATATCACTTTTGTCGAACGCGGCAGGTTCGAAAGCGAGGAGATTGAGAAACAACCCTGCAAGATAGCCAATAAAAAGCTGAGATGCAAGACAAGGGGGAAATCAAAATACGTATGAGGTGGTTCGCCTATTCCCCATGCGTCACTGATGACTTAAGCTTTCTAAGTTTCAGAAGCGAGTTAGGCGGTCGCGCCAAGAGGAGGTGAATGGAGTGGATAGCTTGACTGGGGAAAGTTAGGGGAAGTCGCACTGTACTCAAGGGGATATGGAGGAAGTGAATGGGAAGGGAGGAGATCAAGCATCAAATCAGTAAAAGTGCGGGTAGATTCCCGACTTGTGTGACTACGTGTGAGAAGGCCGAAGCGATGACTGCAACAGACCTACATGACAGAAGGTCCAACGGAATATTCTCACAACTTTGTGTACAGCGTGCCACCGGCACGGAGTGTTTTCTAAAGCAATAAAGTAGAAATCTCTAGCTCTCTATGCACTCTATGCACTGGTATTGTAGTGCTCAAAATCCTAGAATCCTGGTCGAAACCATGGGTTAACCACATACACTGTAAGGTCGAGTAGCGCTCTTCGTTGAGAAACAACGGTTTTCCCCTCCCTAAGTCTACGTCTTCTTCTCCATGCGCGTCCAGATAAGGTGAACCCCATAAAGAGGCTCTCTTGTTGCGAATAATTTGCACTTTCGTTACCTTTAGGACCAGAAAAACCCCAATGCCTGCACCACAAATCTTCGGATGTGCTTCAAGCCAGTGTTGGCTTGACTGGCTTTTATCTGCGCAAAACAAATCACCACACACCAAGCACAAAGCAGGGTACTTTGGTTTTGCTTTGCAAGAAGCGCACCTTCTGCCATCTAGATCCTCCAAGAGAGATTGGAATAACTGCGGAAGTTTGATCAGACCAACTCGTTCTTGCCTGAAACATAGTGGCAAAGGGATCCTATTCACTTCAATAAAATCGTTGACAGGGACCCTCTTACTCATTTCTGGCGGCGTGGGAATGCCAAAGTGTGACAAGAGATGCTGGATCTCAGGACGCACTTTGTCCTCGCATATACTGCCGTTCGAATTACGATATGTTTCAATTAGACCGATGGAAGAAAGGGCAAAAAACGATGACACCATCATGCATGCCCTTCGTAAGTATAGCAATATCTTGAGATTGACAGCTACTTGAACAATATCGGTCATTCCCTCGCAGTTCAATCCCTGTTTGCAAACTAAGTTGAAACCTACTCGAACGAGGTTTCTGGCTTCGTGCAACTTGAGATCGTCACCCCATAGCAAAAACATGAACGCAAATGTAGCGAAAGGGTCCAGACTTTTCGACGCTTCTGGTGAGCGAGCAGCTTCCCAGAGCAGTCGAAGTCCTTGCCTACGCGCTTCTGGTTCCAAGGAAATTTGAGCTCGAGCCTCCATGATTGCAATTCTCAAGCTTCTTCTTGCCAGCCCGGAGGCAGAGTCATACCAACAGCCCCCTCTCACCGCAATTTCAGCACACGCAACAGTTGCGATCGCAGCTGATGGAAGTTTCGCGTACGATCTGCTTGATGGAATATCTTTGTCCATATCTCCAGCGGCTGTCCTACCATACGCAGAAGCACTTCGAAAGCTTTGTAACCCAAACTTTTGCAATACAGCCTTCCCGCTGTTGATGATGGAGAGACGCAAGGCATGCACCTTGCTCGCAATTTCCCCTTTTTGGTGCTCGATACCTTGGCCCTCATCCTCTCCGTTCTCATCATTTGTCCTCAAACGACTCTGCAGGGCGGAGCCTTCTCTGCTCAAACCATTTTGAATTTCCAGATCACACAGTTCTACCCATTCATCAAACGGCAACGGAGAATTTGATGACCTTGTACTTCTTGACATTGTGGCCTGACCCTTTTCACTTACATCATTCATAATTGGAAGAACCATATTCGCAAGTCTGCGGCAAACTGGACACAGAAACTCAAGCTTGTCTAGATCAAGCACATTAGCTCCCTCGTACAATGAATGCCGTGCTCTGCTTTGCGTCAAAATGTTGAAGTATCTGTCGAAGCACGGGATATGAATTGAGTGCCCACAAAATGAAATGTGGAGGTTCTCGCAAGATTCCACACCGTGTCTAAGCATCTCCGGGCTCAGGAAGAAAGACTGCCGAAGCTCAGAGCCTTGGAGGGATGAATACCTTTCACTACTTGTTGTGTCCATGTCAACGTCTCCAGTATTTTCTCCCTCCTCACGCTGCCGGTGCACGGAATCCTTCGAAGCCTCCTCTAAGTTATCCCCTCTCACTTTCTCATCGAATTGCGTGCCACTATTGCACTGAGAGAGAGCAATTGCTGGCAGTCTTGTTGTCTGATGAAATCCAATTAATCCCATAAGACGAGTGCCGTCGCCTCGGCCGGTCTCGTGGCAAAGCGCACACTCTGGGAGCTGGACATCCTCAGTTTCTTCTAGAAGACCTCTATTTCCAGAATCTAATCTATCTGTTGGCGCGAGGGAGACATCCTCGCCCGGCAGCATGTGATGGTCTCTTGCGGACTGTGTTGAATTTCCCGGGCGCAAGGCACTGCTAGGGGTCTCAGTTTCGGAAACATTGGCACCGATGTGCTCAGCGAATCTAGCTTGTGCGCGTCGCATTTGGGCAAGAACTGCAGCCTGCTTTTCCTTTCTCTTGCCTAATGTTAGCCTTCGATTTTCTCTTTCTTGGTCCGAAGGAGCCTTTCTGTTTGCTAGGAAATCTGATGAATTGTTTGCGTCAAATGCAGTGTTCAGGGCGTGTCCCAAAAAGCGTTGAATGACGCCGTTCTTTGTTTCTCTTATCCGACCCAGAATGCGCATAAGGACGGGAAGATATTCCGCGAACAACTTCGAGTTTGCATCTTGACTAAGACTGTACATGTCGCAGATGGCGCTCAGCGCGCTATTTTTCAAGTAGTTGTCGTCAGTGCACGCATACAGCCAGTGCCCACCCTGAAATCTTTCTCGACCTGTAGATGGCATTTCTGCTGCAGCGCAAACGAGATCCAGGGCAGCCGGTAAGCAGCCCTCTAGATAGCATGATCCACCATTGCGAGGTAAGACTTTGGTCAAAAGCTCTGTCACCAAGCCACTGTTGCGGGTAGTGGCCAAACTGAATGCTAGTATGTCACGAAGTTGCGGAAATATAGCGCGTTCATGCACATTATCAGTCGGTATGACTTGCCTTCCCCGATTCTGCCTTCCACAGGCCGTGGCGTAGCGTAATTCAGCTGCGTGTTTCTCCGTGAGAGACATGTGCGGACAAAATGGATCAAATTCATCCCAAATGCTTTCCTTGAGCGTATACTTTCCCTGTTCCAGACCACGGGGTTGAATGTAGTCAGCTATTTGTGGTAGAATTGATTCCACAAGCGAATAAGCCTTGTCCCTATTAGTGTCGCTATCGGCAGAGTCTTCGTCGGAATCCAACTCCATCGAGATGCGAAAAGAACATGCCTTGTAGAGTTCGGAATGAGATTTGGGACCAGAACAAAGTTGGTGGACAAGTTTGCGACGTAGAAAATCAGCTTCCCCTAAACCGCACCTAGATCTCTCCGACATGATGCGAACTAGGTGACTTAGAACATCTTCCAATATCGTGGGAAGAAAACCAGCTAGTTCGCTCAGAGTATTGCCAGTACCTCTGACCGCATCCTCAGGAAAGCGGCTTGTCCCGTCATGTGTCCTAGGGGCTAGCGCATACAAACCAAGCTGCTTCGCAGACCTACCTATTGTAGCTGCTCTCTTCCGGGGGCTTTCTAGAGATCGGCTTGATACCAGGGTGTGAACTCGCGTTGGTACTTGTGAAGGATTTCGTGTGTCCGTAGCCTGCGATGTCTCTTCTTGCGTCGATATCTCTGGGATATCAATTGCTTTCGAAAAGTCAGCAATCCTGAACGCTTCCAATAAATCCTGTGTGTATATATCGGGACCTGTGATTGCCGCACAGCACTGTTGTATAAACAGGTCTAAGTCCATAAACCATTCTGAGAAATGAGTCGACTGGTACCACGTGCTTTGGCCGGTAACTGCAAATCCATTTCTCCTCCACATACCAGCTCTCTCTTGCGCCAAAAATGCCTGTACTCGCAACGGATGCTTTAGCAAGCGCCGTGCATCATCCACAGATGCTTCGCCCACTCCACCTGAGAGCGCCGCTCTTAAGCTTGTCCCATCTAATCGAAGGGCATGGAAAACCATGAAGCTCAAGAGTCTGTGGAGAGGTAAATGTACAGAAATAGAGTGCGAGATTGAGAACGACTCTCCCGAGTAGGTGGAGCGAGCCTCGAGCGCGTTCTCTCGTTCAATCCATTCGTCAAGGCATGAGCGAACCACAGAGATACATTGCAAGCGTGAAGATACTAAATCAACATCCTGGGCTGTCTGCGGCACAGTGCATGACGACGGTGGTTGAGATGTATGGGACCCACAGAATGCTTCAGAAAGAAGTTCCACATAGTGATAAACCAACTCTATTTCTACTGTGAACGGTTTCCTCCAGTTGTTGTGTTCAAGAGGAATATGATCTCCAAACCTTCGAGGGGACGGATGCATGCCCTGTGCCATAGATAAGACACGAACAAACTTTCGAAATAGGTCTCGACGGTGATGCATAAGATGAAACGCGACAGCTCGATGTGTCAGAATGTACTTCAAGTCGTATTTGACTCTCCACTTTACCCAGTCCATTACCTTCTCCTGTTTGAAGGGCCAGTCCAGGCGCATTGGATGCGCAAGTGCACCCGTCCCCCGCACTGCATCATCTGCCATGCGACGAGCTTCCCGTACTGCTGCGAGATATGGACTAGGCCGTGTTGGTCGAGCGGGAAGCCGTCGCCTCGCTGTACTCGAACGTCTCGTAACGTGAGGTGTGGAACTTGGTGTATGCGAACTGTCGACAGTGCCAGTGCTCGCAGAAATGCCAAGCCTTGCATTCTTCGGAACCGTAAAGCGCATACCCTCCTCCAACACTGTCAATTGCTCCTTGACGTGTGGCTCGTTTATCATGCGGTAGAACTTCTTGCGGCTTCGCTCGGTGAAGGTAGCCCCACCCTCAGCGGCTTCAAAATTTAGGATCGCATCGATCCTTCTGGGTACATCGATTGTCTCTCCCACCTCAGCATCTCCGTCGGTGTCCTCTCCTAAGCCAACAGCGCCCTCACCAATGTATACAAGCACGGCGTCCTCTGTGTCTGGGTCCCGTGAAATCTCGACGTCATCTTCCTGGATTTCCATAGCTATAAAGACATGCGGTGATTCATGTCCGTCATCAGCACGAGCGTTGCCCGTAACTGGTAACACAGTGGTATGCCGTGGCTCATCAGTGCTGCTGTTTTGCGCTTCTGTTTGCTCGGCGCGCGAATGAGAACTAGCACCTGCCACGGAGGCTGGAGAAGGCGCAATGCTGTCTGAGTCTGCATCTTCTGTCATTTCCTGGATGCGTTCGGTCGGGGGAGTCACACGTGGGACATGTAAGAGCTGGTCAGATCTACTTCTGGTCCTTGCTCGTCTGAAGACCTTCTTATGCCTGATGTCTCGCGTCGCAAAAGGGAGCGGTAAGCAGTGTTGTTTCCTCCGAGTTGTTTGATGCGGAGTAGTTGAGCTGGAAGCCACTGGTTCGGACATCTGCTTCTGACGATGCAATTGCAACTGGTATTCGTTTGCGAACGAAGATTCTTCAAAGGGGACCTTTTCGCCGTACACGGCAACAGGAGAGGCGCAAGTTTCGAAGAGGGTTCCGAGCATGTCGATGAGAATATCAAGAAGGCCGCCCTGACGAATCATGACCGGCACCAAGGCTGGAACCGTGAAGAGCTGAACTGTGAAGTTGGCGACAATGTCTGTTCCGGGTTGCTTCTCATTATCTGACCCAGTTGAGTAGTTCTTGCGCCTCCGGACAACCTGGGCATGAAGATATCTCTCATAGTTGTCAACGAACATCTCTAGGAAGGCGCGCTTGAAAACGAGATCAGTGATGAGTTGAAAGTACATTTCATGTAGCTTCTCCTGAATGGGCTCTGGCATATTGTCGATGCCATCCAGGGCAAGCATCCATGCAAGCCATGAAAAGCCGTGGGGTTTGCTTTCGAGGTCCAATCCCAACTCTTCAGCAAGGCGAGGGCCATCACCAGGGATTTGAGCAGGGGTTGAAGTCAGATACAGGCCAACTGTACGACGAATGCCGTCTCCGCAAGACACGACCTCCGTCAACCAAGATAACAGAACGCAGACAAACTGGATTTGGGTCTTCTTATTGCCCTTTCCAATCCTGAGATGGGCGCAATAGGTCAAGATGCGGTTCGTTACAGCGCCTACAAGCTCTAGCAGGTTGGTCTTGAGACGTGGCGGCATGCCCTCTGACGGATCGTCATCCTCTGCACTCGCGCCACTATGTACCGAACAGAAACCTGTGGGGCGCCAAGCCTGTACGTCCCCGCAATCGCAACATCCCCCCTCTGTGCAGATCATGGCGTAATTATGCCCTGCATGATCCGCAAGTTTAAAGCACTGGACGCAAACGACGCAGGTGGGATCTCGCTCGCACGTCTTGCACTTGTATGCCAGCTCGCCCTGCTTCCAGACTTTTCCGCACACACCGGTCTTGGAGGCTGAGCCCGCGGCTTGGCGAAGCGTGGGGAAGCCGGGGGTGGGGCGGGCGGTGGGGACGAGGGCGAAGGAGAGCATGGCGACAAGCTCGTCGGGGAAGTCAGCCCAGAGGGATTCGGAGAGGACGTAGTCAGCGAAGGCGGACATTTGACCGGGGGAAAAAGTAAAGGCGGGGTGGGGAAAGACGTCATGGTCGGAGAGGATGAATTTAAAGATGGCCTCGGCCAGGAGCTGGAAGTGGAGCGGGAGACCGCCGTCTTCGGGGAGGGGAAGAGGGGAGGAAGCCATGATGGGCCCGGAGTTTGGATTGTGAGGGCGAAGACAGGTCCGGGGGTTAGGGGGAGCAGGGGTACGTTGAGGTGGGGATGGGGGGTGAGAAAGGAGTCTGGAGGGTCCAGTTAATCCTCGCACGTTGAGAGTATGGAGGGCGGAGGCTGCTGCTCTATGAGAAGTGTTGCAAAGCTGTGTGAGCTTGGAAGGCGTGATTCTCCAACGGTTGCCCAATTGGACAGTATACGGTCAACAGCCTTCTGGGCTTTCTCTGTGCCTTATCATTTGTGCGCACTACAGAGTGTAGCTGCTGCAGCTGTTTGGGTTGAACTTTCATATATCTCACATGAAGGCTTGGTGCTTAAACAAGAAGGCTTTGAATTTATTACGGAAAAAGGAAATAGTGAGCAGTCGATACATGGAGTTGAGTGGCAAAAAAGAGTTTAGTGCAGTGGCGCCGTTTCCACACGGAAATGGCTCTCAGAGCCGAAACTGGAGGCGAGATATAGTGTTATTGAATTGTTAGTTAAGAAAAATCTCCGCGACAACCTTTTCTCCCTTCACATGCCGCCAATGAACCCTTTCCATGTCTCAGGCTTTATGCATGCGCCGGTCATACCATGCCGCCACCTTTCTAAACAGCGGGCGGGCTACTCACGGCAGCCATGCTGTGCTTCATGAACAACAACCGGTCACAGAACGTTACATGTTCGAGTCTCTCGTTTCGAGAGAGACTTAAGAGAGAGAGGCTTAGAGAGAGGGAGGCCTCCATTTGCATTCGCTTGTAGACTATCAATCTCGCCTCGCCTCGAAAAACATATCTGAAATCCATTTCCGAGTCGAACCCTCGTGTCCCAAAGCAGCCATTTCACCTCACAAAGACCAAACCACTTCGTTTACTCTATTCACTTCCACTCTCCATTCCACCGCCTCCGCCCACTTCACACCTTCCGCTACCTGTCAGACTCTCCCTCCCCCGCGCAATGCCACGCCGTCGCCCACGCCCGGGGCCCTCATCTGTTCTGGTCTGCGCGCGCGCCCCCATCGCACGCGCCCCGTCGTCCTTTGTCGCCGACGTAACCGTCGCCCAAACCTCCGCCCCGCCGCCCTCGCCCGACCTCACCGTCGACGACCCCCACCCCACGGCACCCCGCGAACCGCGTCCCGCCCCCCGCCCCCCGTCGTGGTCTCCCTTCGGCTTCCTGCGGGATGGCCCCTTCGGCTTCCTGAGGGATGGCACCCGCTCTCTGAAGCACGGCTCCTCCCCCGCCGCGGGCACCTCCAACACCCCGGCCCTGTTCCCTCCGCGCCAGGCGGACGGCGGCTTGCTCAGCGGTCTACCCCAGACGAAGCGTCCCGAAAAGGAGACTGATGACGACCCGACCTCCTCCGAGTCGCTTCCTCCGTCGCAGCCGGCGAGCCACCATCGCCTTCCCGCGTGGCGCTCATGGCGCGACTGGAAGAAGGTCACCCTGGATGTCTACCTGCGTCTCACGAACAAGCCCTTGTACTCGCGCGTGCGACTGAAGCAGACCGTCGCGCTGCTTCCTGTGGTCAAACTTAAGCCGGTTATAGACTTGGGGTATCGCGGCCCGGACGCCCCTCCCTTCGCCATGCATCTAGACATCAAGCTGCTCGACTGCATCAAGTACCGCGTCCGGCCGGACGGGAACGCCTTCTTGCAGGTGCGCGCCAAAGCTCCTCTTGCGGACCCCAGGTTTCGCATGGACGTTCTTTATCAACGCGACCTCGCCACGTCGTTAGAGACCGTCAAGATTACATTTCGCATGCTGGACGTCGCGTTTTTGAAGGCTCCGGGCATCGGGGCTGGCTTCAAGTATCCTATTCGCTTTGATAACGGCATTAAGACGACGCTGCGAGTGAAGAAGTATCTCGTTGAGAGCAACCAGCCCAAACCGACTGGCACGAAGCAAAGCAGACCGATGGCGAGGAGGGCGAAAGGGGAGGCTCATTCGCGAGGTGGAGCCCCGGGAGATGCATCACCAATGCACCATCAGATGGAAACAACCCGCAACAAATATCGAATTGAAGGGCCCATAGGATTCGACATCAAGTTTAGATGTCTAGAGTATAGATAGGTCTAAAACGCAACTGCCAGTTCAGGCGTCAAGTCGCTCGTGAACATATTGCAATGTATCCCTCTCAACAACTACACCGTGAACAGGATTTAGTCTGGTGGTTAAATTAGTGTCGCCTGGGAATTAGTATAGGCTATCGTCAATATTGTGCGGCGACTTTCACGGCCTTGAAGCCTGATAATTTGCCGTTAGGAAACCCCCAACGGTCTTAAAAGAATTTTTCCAAAACGGCAGTACCAAGGGTACTGTAGGCTGTACGGAGTGTTATTTCCTGAATGCACCCACTGGGTGCAGTGGGTGACTGTACTATCTGTACGCCCCATAATAGCATGGGTACGGAATTAGTATAGGCTATACTAATTCCTGTTTCATCCTCATTTTAAGGCTCCTGTAAAATAGTCTGGGCTATACTAAATCCTGTTCACGGGTGTAGTAACCAGGGGACCATTAACCACTTCCGATGAGGCTCAGCATTCCTAGCACAGAATAGACTCTAGGGAATCATTGCACAGTCAAGCAGATATATAAAAATTTAATCGACTTTGCGAAGAAAGCTCCACGTGCTGTGGCGCGGCATTTGCGCACACTTCTTAGTCTCCCCACATCCCTCATACTCTCGCAGCATATTCGTTTAACCAAACGTTCATCGACAGTTTAGAATAAGAGCCCTCATTGTGGCTGAGAAGTAGTTTGAACTTGCCAGTATATGGACCACTTACCGCCGGAATAAAAGCCTTTCTACCCCCTCTCGACCGAAGTTCTTTCAGATCTCATAACCCTGTATGCACGCACTTGTAAGGAACATGGAACAAGAGTAGGATTGAAGCCAAGTCTAACAACCATATTTCAGCGGCAAAAATAGGCTTTTTGACAAGTAGTCGACAGTTGAGTCTTCCATGTAGGTCAGTCTTAAAACTGACAAGACTGCGAGAAACCTGTGTCAATGACCGTCTGTAGTTGGCATTTGAAAAGAGTCTAAGAGACAAATACATTCAAGTACAAGTCGTATCAATCAGCTATTGCACCTGAAGATATCACTCATTCTCTTAGATGCTTCTCATTTATCTCTCTTCGTGTTCACCGTCCAGCTTTCATTGTTATATTACATACCAGAAGACCGAGCTTAAGACTTGTTCTTGAAGAATGGCTGAAAGCTGACAACGCTTCTGTGAAAGAAGCCCATCTGCTTTCGCTGCTCCATGCGACTGGCAATCGTTTTCTTTTTGAGAAATAGAATGGGATCGGACACTTCGCACGTGATGTCATGCACCAGTTGATCCCCCATAAAATCAATGTACGTGTCATCAAAGAGCTCGAGTTCTAAAGATGTCCTGTCCGTGACAATAGTCGGCGCTGGACTGCACAAAGGACTTTGAACTTCCTTCTTCCTCTTGAAAGAAGCCCTCCACCAATTTGATAGCCTGTTCTCAGGAGAGGACTTGAGATGCTTTTGATGGTCATCGTCTTCGAAGCAGTAGTATCCCATCCCTACCCCATGAGTCAGGCCCTTGCTTTGCGGACCCTTCCGAAAATTAGTTTCCCCTGCACTCACGGCGCATGAACGAGAAATGACCTTATCTGCCTTCTTAACCGTATCGAACTGCGTCATTGAACCGCAAATACCGAAAAGCACCGAAAACCTATTGTTGGATATCTTGTTAGATATCCCGAAGAAGAAAAAGTGTTGTGAGGAGGCCGCATATAAATGGAATAAAATAATTTGCTGGGAATCCCTTGGCGGGAGCTCAATACTCAAGGACTGCTCCAATGACAGTGAAGTGTGTAGATCAGTTCAGATACGCGTTGACTTGACAGAAATGCTTCGGGATAGATAAAGGTCCATAAACAACCGACACAAAATCTTTACTCAATACAACGCCTACGCCCTAATCCTTTGAAGAGAGCAAAAATACAGGGGTAGGGTAATGCGCTGGGCAAAACTCCCTATCCGAGTGATCTTAAGTTCAGATGACTTCAGAAAATGCGTTCGTCTTCGATAAGGGAGACTACGATTGTCAAGGCTGCATGTAGAAGTCCACTCTTCGTGTGTGTGGCCAAAACTCCCTATCCGAGTGATCTTAAGTTCAGATGACTTCAGAAAATGCGTTCGTCTTCGATAAGGGAGACTACGATTGTCAAGGCTGTATGTAGAAGTCCACTCTTCGTGTGTGTGGCCAAAACTCCCTATCCGAGTGATCTTAAGTTCAGATGACTTCAGAAAATGCGTTCCCCACTCTTCGTATGTGTGGCCTTGAATGTTGACCATGCATTCGACCTATGGATAGTCAGCGCCATACATATTTTAGATACGACTCCAAACCATCTTGAAGGAGGCGACTACCGATGCAGGAATGGTCAAACGATTTTTTTCCTTCTCACTCCTGCAGAATCGCTTAAACCTCAGAGATCTTAAGTTTAAGACTCGGGGCTGCAAAAGGAAGAGGCTTTCTCGCAACGGACGTTGCCACGAAATATCACAGGTATTTGAAGTGTTTTTCTCTTGTCGGGAAATGTCTCTTCGCATTGGCAAAGGGCGCGCTAGACTCTTTGACTTAAAGATTCTGATTCCTGTTTAGTCAAATAGTACATATCTCTTCGGGATATGAAAGGGGGAAAAACCTGACGAAGCTGGAATTTGTTTTCTAACAGCACACTCATACAGGTTGGCTAGATGTCAATGTGAGCCCTGTAGTTTTCTCTAAGGTAATTTACGGCTGCTTTCAGAATAGACCGTTTCCGTGCTGATTTCTGAAATGTAATACAAATCCACGGATAAAGTCTCCAAGACGCCCAGTTTACAATATTAGCCTCCTGAAGCGAATGCAAGTATGGGTGGTAGAGAGCAACCAACGCCTCTCAACCAAGGGATCGGGCACACCTTGTCCAGCCTCCGCAATGATGGAAAGACAAGACAAGGTGTAAAACAAAATGTAAACAAGGTCTACCCGATCCCTTGGTTGAGAGGCGTTGGTTGCTCTCTGCCACACATAATTGCACTCGCTTCAGGAGCCCATTCCAATGGGCTAATGTGTTTTGAATCTTGCTTCAACTGCAGAATACATGTAATTTTAAACAGGCGGCTGCAGATCGACAACCGGTCAATGTTCAATGAAGAAGTTCTCAGTGTCTCAGGAGGACTTGCCTTTTTTTATGCGAACAATGAAGACGTTTCAGAAAGACCGCTCGCACACTATCAGTCGGACTCACAGATTCAAAGCCGTCCTGAAATAAGTATTTTCAAGACATATCGTCTAACTCATTCAGCATCGGAATGAGTTTTATTGGCATCGGTTTCAACATCATGCCACAAAATGGAAACGCGAAGATGTATTTCATTTCACCGAAAAGGAAACAAAGCCTTCGCACGGTATAGTATTGGATCTATGTCTCCATTTTTTCTCAAATGAATTATGGTGCTCTCAGATCGAAGATGGTGCAAAAATGTTCTATGTAGTTTGGCGAACATGTGTGGCAGGAGATGATTTTCAAAGAACAGGGAGCACTCGGGCGGATGCCAGAGGGAATAAATAAAAACACTATTCGCAATCTTGATACGTTAAGCTTGGAAGCAAGCATCTTCTTCAAGAAACTATCGAGATTGAGGAGAAGACTGGAAGTCGAGCGCTAACATGAAGGTGTTGCGGGCATTTGATAATCGAGACCGAGAGTTTGCTGCAGTTATGAGGAAATTTCAGAAGAATTTAGCACTGAACAGGAGGAAGTCATGTTTATCAATTGCAGAAAAAAAGGTGCAAAGTGGATATGTTTGTTCTTCCACTATTGCTAGGGAACAAATTTCTCTGTATCGTGACTGCAATCTCCTGGCCACTGGTGACATTTTTATTAAACCCTCTCGATTTCAGCGACCTAGAAAGCACTTTGCTGAGCTGCGAGGATCCTCTCTAGTCGTTTTTAGAAATCATGACATAGCCCGTTCATCCTCGGTGGACATCACAAGCGTTATCACGGTCATCACTGTGCAACGATACAACTTTGACATAATCCAGAAAGCTGAAGGTTACCCCCGTATATACATTTCGGCGGAGAAATCTGATGAGTCCTTCATGTATATAAAAGTGAACGGGGGGGATAAGGAGCTTGACTCTTGGCGCCATGGTCTCGCAATGGCGAAGAGTGCTGCCATCCCAAAAATTTCTAACCTTACAGTCGAATCAGTAATCGGGCGCGGAGGGGGTGGAAGAGTGTTTATGGTGCAATGGGGAGAATCTAACAAGGCGTACGCTCTCAAAGTTATTGACAAAGCACAGGCTTTCAGATCACCGAAAGCATTTGCGCATATTGCTTCTGAGCGAAACATCATGCAACGTGTGGGACGACATCCCTTTCTCCTCGACATCCAATTTGCATTCCAAACAGAGAATAGCCTCTTCATTGGCACCCCTTTTTGCGGCGGTGGCGACTTGGCTTCGTATATCAGACACCGGGGTTTGCAAACTCCATCGCTTCCGTCATTTATTAGTGGAGGTACTGCAGTTCATCCGCATAAGAGGCTCCGAACACATGGAAGATTATGCGAAGCAAGCACACGAAGTATTGCCGCAGAGATTATACTGGGCTTGGAACATCTGCATGACTGTGGAATCGTGTACCGCGATTTGAAGCCAGAGAATATTTTCATAGATGATTCGGGTCATGTGCGCATTGGAGACTATGGATTGGCAAAACATTTGTCGCGAAAGCGCGGCAAAGTTGGACACAAGCGCACATCGAGTATATGCGGAACTCGCAACTACTTGCCACCGGAGATGTTGTCCGGACGGACATACGCCTTCTCTGCAGATCTGTGGTGTTTAGGGGTCATGTTGTTTCGGATGTTGATCGGTTCTTTTCCGTTCGAGGCTTCGCGCACTAAAGAAGTGTTTCACAAAGTGAGGAGATACCAACCGAGATACCCAGCGTGGCTCGGCACCGACGCCAAGAGCATGCTAAATGGGCTGCTACAGAAGGATCCTTCAAATCGAACGACAATTAAAGGGCTCAAGCGACATCCCTTCTTCCGAGACGTAGATTGGAAAGCGGTTTTGGAGTTACAAGCAGGCCCTGCTATTGACGACATTGAGACTGGCAGTCAACCGAGTGATGCACTTGCAAACTTTTCTCTGAGTAAGTTACATGGGCTCACGATGGGGGAGCTCGTATGTGAGGAAGAAAATCCGCAGCGGCCTTTCGCAGAGGATTTAAGCACGATGATGGTAGGGTTTGAGTTTGGGTGCGTTGAGAAAAGGAACAGTATTCAGCCTTTAGCAGTGCAACAGAAGAGCGGGGGAATTCTATCTAAGATTGCAAGCATTGACCAGACGTACGATAGTCTGGCGTCTTTCAAGAGTCTACGGAGTAGTCGAGGGAATCAAGGGCAATCAGGGGATGGGGATGGGTCCCCAAGTCTGCGGAGAGCGTGGCGGAGCGCGAGATGATGTGACTGGCGACAGAAGGAATAGTTTTGATGGTCTTAATATTGTACTACCACAGTCCAAAAAGTGTGTGCAAAGTGTAAACTGCAAAGATGGCGCAAGGCTTTCATCACGAAAAACATGGTGCTGCACATGTGCTACGGAATAAATGAAAGCGGATCATCCTATACGTGCGCTTGATGTGGGCGGCACTGGGATAATAAGTATAGAGCTATCGGCTCTCTCGTATCCGTGCAACGGAAGGCGAAGCAAAGTGGGGCGCAAAAAACATGACGACCGCATCCACGGAGCAGAGCAGTTACTGTTGCGTTTTCCGCTTGCTTGGTTTTGCGGGAAAAACTGCGAATGCCAACATCTTTGCGGCTGTTTTCCAAGCCGCGTTACAAGTATTTCTTTATAAAAGTTAGTACAGCAGAAGGGAGACGAGCACAAGTGTTGCGGCGACTCCCTGCGTTGGGACTTTGTTTCTGTGGACCCTTACACGTGCGCTTAAACAAGGAGCTGTAGATGAGTGCTTTGATGTTGGCAGATTGGTGCAAGAGGTAGGGAAGCAATCAATGGTTGTTTGAGCATTTTGGGAATGGCAGTTGATGTTGGAAGGGAACAAGATTAGAGCGAGAAAAAGCACGGGGATCAGTCATCGAGACACGGTGTACGGTGTACACGAATGCTTGGATGTTGTTGCAATGTAGGAGTATAGCACTGACTGTGCGGGCGATTGCAACTAGTCAGTCTTCGTGAGGAATTACTTTGTTACCTTCTAATCGGAAAATATCATACACGTCACGGCGTTCCCCCCCCCATCTGCTGGGACTCATAACGTAGTGTAGGAGGGTATCTGGAAGGTCAAGATGGTACCGAAGGGTAGCGGGCGGGGTCAAATAGATCGATACGCAGGGCTTGCCTTACATGATACCATGCAGGTATATGGAAGGACGGCGACAAACAGCGGGGATACTCGTGGGGGAGGTGGGGGATGCCGCAAGAATGCCACTCGCATGCTGGCTGTGTCATGCGGAGGCGGCCGGGGAGATATGTGGACCAGGCGCAGCGAGGGGGAGTTGTAAGATGGGACAAAAGTTGTGTTGTTTGATGATGACAGAGCGACAAGTCAGAAGTGTGCCTGTAAGACGACGCGGTAGTTGATGAGCGGGGGGATGTTTTTAGGAGCATCTCAAGCGCTGTTTCCATCATGACTGGTGACTTTTGACAATTCAGCGTGGGGCACTTGCGCTCACGACAGGGGCAGCATCTCTCACGACAGGGCGGCGTCCCGGACGAACGGCCGTTGGTCGGCCGTTGAGGTGGCGGAAGGGTGGCTGTGGAAGGGCTGCGGGGGGGCGGGGGGAACAGGCGAATACAGGTGCGGAAGCGGTGCCCATTGGGTTGAGACGGGTGGGCGTGTTGACAAGTCGCGGGGCGAAGCAGGGCGGCAGGAGGAAGGGGGTCGCGTGTTCGAGGTTGGGTGCGATGGACAAGTGCGGGAAGGATTCGTGGACGTGCGGATTCGGCGGAGTAGCGTTAATCCGGCGGGGGGATGATTGGCACGAGTGGTGGATTCGAGTGCCAACCAGTGCCCGTTGCAGTCCACAAACGTCCCATCGCCTCGACTCTCGACTCTCGACTCACGTTCACACTCTTTGCTCCATCTCTCGCTGAACTCCGCGCACACACCACGCCCTGCCCCGTCTGCGGCACAAACATTTGTCGGCAACTGCAGCCGTCTCGCAGGAACAAAGCCCTGCCGTTTTCGCTCATACGCAGCCCGCTTGGGCCCCTTGCAAAAGAATCTCTCCGCTCATTACGAGTCTCTCTTTTGCTCCATCCACAGACCACGGTGCAAACACTATAACAATACCCCCAAACCTTTTCGTGCAAGCAACCTGCCCCTTCCTCCGTCTCCCCCCCCCCCCTTCCCCCCTCCCCCCTCCCTCGCGCTCCCCCCCACTCTCCTCAACCCCAATCTCTGTTTACCTCCACTCCTCCACTCCCCGAAACACTCCCCGAAGCATCTCCCTCCACCTTCCCGTCTGCCTGCCTGCCTGCCTGCTTCCCCCACAGAATTCCTAACTCCTCCTCATGGCCGCTGCAGACACCAGCGAAGTAGTGCTGACATCCGAAACGCTGCCGATGGCCTCGTGGCCGCACGCGGTGGTAGACTGCCCGTCTTCGTGGAGCTCGTCGTCGCCCACGCCGTGCGCGTCGTGTTTTTGCTTTGTGTGCGACCTGCCCTTCTCCGCGTGCGACGACGCCGCGCTGCACGCGTGCGCGGACGGCACCAAGGAGGCGTGGCGGCGCGCCAAGCGGCGCCGCTCTACCCTGCTCACCGCGTGGCGCGACATCCCCGCCCTCGTCAACCTCATCGTCCAGCTGAGCGTGGACGAGGCCAACAGACACGGCCCCGGCTCGCCCGTCGCGTTCCAGGGAAGCGAAAGCTCGGGCAGCCCCACTTTTGTCGAAATGACCGCCGGGTTTGGCGAGGCTAAGTTTGGCGTGAAGGAGCCCGGTGGGGATGCCGGCATCATCAAGGGGATGTCGGACGTGTGTATCTCGGATTTGTACCGTATCAACAAGGACCACCAGGAACCTCTTTACACGGAGTGTGAATTTGTCAACGCCGAGGTGGTCGTCGACCATGTACAAAACGAGTTGTGCATGCGCAAACTCGTCAAGTCAGAAATAGTTAGTCCCGTAGTCAACCCGGCCCCAGAGTAAAAAATACACCCATTCTGCTCGCGATGCACAACCATGGGGGTCGTTTTCCGCCGTAATGTGCGGAAAGAAACCTTTTTGTCCCCTGCGTGTCCATCCCAGTGTGGTAAAAGGGAGTGCCCCCTGGCCAGGAGACCGGTGGAGAGGGATGTGCACAGTACATGTAGTAGCGATATCCAAACACCCAGACTGCCGCGTGAGCACAGACACAGCACGAATCACCCCAAACTCTTTCCACGGAAAAAACCTTGCGGCACCATTCCACTCTATACATACTTTCTATTCTCTACTCTCTCTACTCTTATCACGTTCCCACACAAAACAAAAACAAAAAACAGAAAGAAAGGCGCGCGCTACCGCTTTCCGTTCCGGTCGCCGCGACCAACCGGCCTGAGCGGGACAGCGCAGCCAGCCTCGAGCTGTTGCATGGTAAACTTGGCTTCCCGGAGTGCTTCTCGATACTC